TTTTTTTTATATGATAGAAAATTAAATTTGCTTTCCAACGGTACCAAACATAAGAGGTTATTACTAATAAGTCCGGAGTTATTGGCAATAGACCGCTCCGGGTGTCAAAAATCGACCAAAATCTCGACAAAAATCAAAAAAAATTTCAACTTTATATTTAATCCATTTAAGGTTTTTTACATTTGTAAAGCTCTTAAAGACGCAAATAAGTGCAAGAGAAGTGCATTTTTGACTAAAAAATGTGTTTAAACACCTGAAAAAGGTAAAAAATAATGTAATTTTCGAGCGAAATTTTCAGTTGTTTTGTTAAAATTTCACTCAAAAACGAGTCCCCAATACCGTCATTTTCAAACTAATTTGGTGATTTTTCACGTTATTTTGGCGAAAAAACTGAGTTTTTAGCTCAAAAAAGTGCAAAAATAACATGGTTTTGTGGCTTGTTTGAGAGAAATTTCGCAAGAAAAGTGAGCTTGCGAGTAAAAGCATGGTTTTTTCGAAATTTTTCAAAATTTTCGATTTAATTTCAATGTTTTTCAGCGAAATTTTGTGAAAAAAGTGCATTTCTAATTCAAACAAGCTAAATCGAGCTAAGATGAATTTTTTCCAATTTGGTGAAATTGTTTTTTTTGCTCAAAAACATACAAAGACTGCAGAAATAAGACCATTTTTGACCTTATTTTGGTGATATTTCGGCTTGTTAGAGCGAAATTTCGGAAAAAAATATTACTTTTTGCAAAATTTTGTAATTTTTGGTCTGTTGTCCCAAAATTTTCAAAAGGAAAAACTCGCTTTTCTGTTCAAACGAACAAAAAAGATCAAAATTACATCATTTTCAATCTAATTTGGTAATTTTTTCATGCTATTCTGATGAAAAAAAAAAGGTTTTAGCTTAAAAATACGCAGAAATGTTTGAAAAAGGCAAAAATTTCATAATTTTTTGCCCTGTTTTGGTGAAATTTCTCAACAAAAGTGCATTTTTGACTGAAACATGTGTGAAATAATATTATAATTTTCAACCGAATTGTTCAATTTTCAGTTTGTTTTGTCAAATTTCACTGAAAAACGAACCAAATCGAGTCCTGAATCACGTCATTTGGTGATTTTTTCCGTTATTTTTTGAGTTTTTAGCTGAAAAATGCAAAAATAACATCGGTTTGAGTGAAATTTCGAGTAAAAAGTACGCTTCTAGTAAAAAACATGATTTTTTCTGTTTTTGAAAATTTTAGATCTA